CGCCTGCCGGATGCTGCTTCGTGTTTCATCCCGTGATAAAGTTGTATTCACTGAATTCACACTGGTACTATTCGCTTTGGCCTAAAATTTATTAATCTTTTCAATTTACAAAATAAAATTAAATTTAATCAAATTTAAATCACAAAAATTTTCACAGGTGTTTGGGGAGAAAAAATCTCGGGAACTAAAGTGAGTCTACAAAACTTCATCTATCAATGGAAATGGCATTTCAATGGTAGTTTGACTATTAATTGATTTTTTAAGGTTTCTAAAGCAATAAATCCCTGCGATCCGATCTTTCCGGAAGATTAAACAAGTTTCATATCCAGATTTTCTAGTACAGAAAAATCTCAAAGGGTAATCGCAATCTCAAGAAATTATAGACATAAATCGTGATCTTGAAAAATCACAGGTTCAAGCGAAATCTCGAAAAAAGTACAACATTCCTACAAGTATGGTATCGGTAATAAATTTCAACTGGAGTTCTTTTCGATATCAAAAAAAAAAAAAAAATACTCCTCTACACTGATTTTCCCTGTATATCGCGTCCCCCTAAAGCCGAAAACCTCGCCTCAAAACTGTTCAAAAGCTGTTCCTGAATTGATGGAGATAGTCAAAGTCCAGCTGCAGCAAGCTGTACTTGACTTTTTGCTTTACTTGGATGTCGAATAAAATTTCAGCACGAAGCAAAAAGGGTTTGTTTTGCTTGGCTGACAAAGAAAAATTCAAAAAACGATAAAATTGAAAACTTACATTTGTGGCTATTTCAATGCCTTCACTTACTGCTGCAAGCGGCTGACCATTTAAAGCGTATGCTTCTGCAAATCACAGACAAAAAATTTTTGAGAAAACCTAAAAAAACCATTGCAAATATCCCATTTTTCCTTTGCATAACTCAAAATTGGAGTTGAATAATCCACCCCTCATCCTCATTCCCTCATCCCACAGCTCCATCCCTCTTCCTCCCATAAAATTTATTAAACAAAATCGTTATTATTCTAGTCGTAAAGCCTTTGTGCAGTTGCTGAAGAGATTTAAATAAAAATTAAAGAGATAAATCAAAGTGTCAGCGTATTAATTTGTGTTAAAAATACAAGCAGACTATCAAAAAAAGCACAAAAAAAAACCCATTAAGCATGCTTCAGTAATACTATCCAGTGTAGTTTTAATTCAAAAGCAAAAAAAAAAAAATGAAACTCATTCCGTTATGCCAGGCACTTCATTTACTCAGCGTAAAGTAGAAGTAGTAGCAGTAAAGCTAGAAAACAAACACAGCAATAATGAAAATAATGGTAATAATAATGATAATAACAGTAATAATAATAACAATAATAATAGTAACAGAGCAATAACA